ACTATGAAGAAAGATAACTATGATATATATAATTGGAATATTATTCAACTTTGAAAAGGAAGAAAATGCTGACTCTGTATAACATGGATGAAGCTTGGAAGTATTATGTTTATTGAAATGAGTCAGTTACAAAAGAACAAACTGCATTACATCCTTACAGTGGTCAAAATTACAGAGATTGAGGGTAGAATGGCAGTAACCAGCGATAGGGAATAAGGAGACAAACATCCTTAATAGCTACAGTTTAGAGTGACATCCCACCTGTGAATGTAATTAGTGCCTCTGAATCCATGCTCTTAAAATGACCCACATAACAAATTTTAGTGACATGTTTTAACCTAAGAAAATAATTATTTTTAAAAATTGGTACTATGGCATGTGCCTGTAATCTCAGCTTCTTGGGAGACAGACACAGAGAGAATCATGTAAGCCCAGGAGTTCAGGGACCCTCTGGGCAACACAATGAGACCCTATCTCAAACCTGAACACATCAATGGGTAAAAAGTCACCAATGAAGGACTGTTTGGAGGGATAGCATACCGTCTCCTACTACTTATTATTCAAAAAGGGAAAAGGCACCTTCACCACCTTAACCAAGCCACCAAATTTAATGTCACCAGTAGTGAGACAGCTAGTGCCATGTGTCTCCTGATGCAAGTGCTGAGAACTCCCAGGGACCTGTTTGGCACCTTGACCCAAATCTAGGCACAAGGAAAGGTCAGATAAATGCAACGAGAGACAGTCTACAAAACCAGCATTCCAAACTTCTTAATGTCTATGTCATAAACAACTCAACAAGGCCCGGACAACCTTCAAGAGCCCAAGAGTTATAACAACTACACAACTTATGGGTCCTCTGACTGGATCCTGGAATTCTGAAAGAACTTCAAGGGTGGAGTAGGCAGGAGGACTGTCCGTGGCCTGTGCATTAGATATGCATCACGTCCACTGCGTTAGGAAACAAGACTCACGCTGAAGTATTCAGGATGAAGTGACTGTCTCGAGCCACCCTGCCATGACTCAACAGTCATAACCCTGATGAAGAGAGCCTGGGAGAAAAGTACTACATGTGGATGGCAGGAAAGGCACCCAGAGGATAACTCCTGAAGAGTAATGAGACCGGCCACAGATTAGAAATTGCACAAAGGTGTGAACCAGGAGAGCTGAGGGCTGCTGCTCAGGTGTCTGGGAGCAGGCAAGGATGCTGGCAAGAGGGGAGCATCCCAGGAGGAGAGGCAGCAGGAATAGACAGATCCAAAGGCTCATAAGAAGCACCCAGAGACCAGGAGAGTGAAGCCTGGCCTCCTCACAACCATCCATCCAAGACAGCAAGTCAGATGATAACCTGTGAACCACAGAAGACAGCAGAAAAAGACCTCTTGGACACACCCGTCAAGGAGATAGTGGAAGAAATCCTGAGCCCTTTCTCCAGACCACCAGCAAGGGACAGTCTTCCAGGACCCACTGACTCTTCTCTATAGTCCAAAGCCTACCATTACACACACACACACACACACAGAGAGAGAGAGAGAGAGAGAAAGAGAGAGAGAGAGAGAGAGAGGGAGACAGAGAGACAGAGAGACAGAGAGACAGAGAGAATTAAAGTCAAAGGCTAAAAATGCATTGGCAGCGAACTGGCATAATGCAGGCACATAACACTCTTGAGGTTAAAAAAAAAAGTTCACTGTGAGCCTGTGTTCATCCCATGGGAACTGTATACAGACAACTTTCATTTTTCCCCTGATTTGTTTTTTGCACAACCCTCTGCTGCATCTTCCTATGAATGGAGTGGACAGCCAACAGGGCAGCATATCATGCTTTGATTTGCCGTGAGAAATGAGTTGTAGTTCAACACCACTGTGATTTGTACTGTCATTTACATAATTAAACATAAGACAAGCAGCACAAGGAGGTGGATGTGGTTAATGGAGTTACACAAGAGCTAAAAATAGCAGACAGCTACAGGCTTCGGGGGACACTGGGGTGGCACCTGCTGATGGGCACTGATGGCCATGGAAAGACTGTCAGTCTGCCAGGAACATCTTCTGTTTAGCTGAGCCCTCTTAATCAAGACTTACCACTCCCCAGACAAGGAACAGCTGGTGGTGGCCTGCTTCACAGGTAACAAACTGAAGGTTACCAGCAGGGCCTCACAGAGCTGCCCCAGAGCTTAGTCAGTCCCAATGCTAGTGCAACACCTTATCATAAACCTGCACCCCCAGGCTGAGTGACACCCTCAACTGACAGTGACAATGGCCTTGCTTCTGCTTTGCTCATAACATGCTACTTCTTCCTCTTCCCCTGGTCCTTCTTCCCCTTGTTTTAAAAGCTGAATTAGATGCTGACATTAAAAAGTTCACATAAGAACCAGTGCTTGCACCTCAGCACCCTGGGCTCAACTAGCACAGGTCTCACTTCTTGCTGAACCCATCTCTGTCACTAACTCTACACCTGTCCCTGAGGGAAATTAAAGTTTGTAAGTCTTCCAGACTGTGCAGAGTAGCCCTGAGGCCCCACCCTAATCCTACACTGCCAAGTGAACTGTTGAGTTTCTGCCTTTCCTATCCTGCCTACCCCATGAGCAGCAGGCAATGGCTGAGTAAGTACCAAGTAGGTGAAAGAGCAACACCTCCCTCAGTCTTTATTCTCTGTAACTTCAATGTTACAAATAAGCCACCTGAGGCTTCAGGGGACAGTGCACACGCCCAAGGTGGTCCCTGACCAGCACCCTACAATGAAGATGAGAAAGAGCATAGGACAATTTGATGAGTCACGGAGAGAATGCGGGGAGAGACACAAGACCCATTAACCCCACTGCTCCTGATCAAAGGACCCCCCCTCTCTGGCCAGGGATGAGAGGAAGGTTAAGGTGAACATACAGATGCATTGATCACTGCAACTCTACTAGACACTAAGGCATAATGATTTAACAGAACTCTGACTTCACCTTTTATAGAAACTTGATTCTCGGCAGTGGGCATATTTAACAGACTACCCTGGCCTCTGCCATCTCTATTTCCTCTCCCTGCCTCCAAATTCTAATGCATGAGCCAGGGAGGACTCAGGTGAGATGGCACCCAAAGCCAGAAATTCTGTCCTTCCATCTAGCTGCCACACCCACTTGGCTCTCCAATGCTAACATCTACAAATAAGCATCAGCTGCAGCAAAGCTTCACTGTACAGTTCTGCATGTGTCCAGTGGGGCAGGGGGGGGGGGGGGAGGGGACACCCACCACAAACAAACAATTGGGGGGGAGAAAAATCCTCTCAC